GTCAAATAAAAGGGTCCTTTTCACCCTTTTCTCTGTCACTGTTGTACTTTATGAGACAAAGTGATAATTTACTTCCAAGTCCCTAAAATATTTCATATATTTTATGCTTCAAAAGAACAGAAGATGTTGTAACTTTACATACAATATCCAGAATTTTTGATTGTAACTTTATTGATTTCAAGGACAACTGGCATAGGATCCTCTTCTTCATGAGAAGAGGAGGTGTTAGAACGGCTTAGTATCTCTTTTGCATAATGAAATCAGGAAGAAACGACTGAAATTGTGCCAATGTATAAACTGGCAAGACAGGATTAATTCAATACCTGAGCCAATATCTTAGTCATTTAGCTTTTTTTTTTTCAGCAATTTTACCTGCCATCTTTGGGGAATAATTCTGCAGTTAACATGTCAAAGATAAAGAAAGCTTAAGCCAAGATGTAAGATTTCCCCCACCTTAATTTAATTTTACAGTATGTGTACCTCTTCTATAAAACTGATAAATGAATCTGAAAATTATTATCATATACATTCTCACTTTTGTTATCTGAAAGATAATAGATCTTCAAAATTTGATTACCTTTTTCAAAACACCAAAGCAGAGATAACATAGCCAAATAAAGTAGAGAATTTAAGTAGGGTTATTATAAATGATTCATCAGGTTTTTGTAGGTCAAGTTATGGATCATATCATTTCTTGATTTGTAGATTGTGAAAGAAAATAACTTACATTTTAAAATTCAAGCATACAAACTTCCATGTAAGATATCAGGTAGCAGATAAAAGTTCTATGTTTCAAATGGCAAGTTTACAATAAAAGGCACTTTGTGTTTTAGAACATGCAAAACATATTTATGTATTGTTTATGCACACACAATATATGTTTTAGAGTGCAGTCTACTAAACCAGCAGAGCTGCATTTTTACTGACAGTTCAAGAATAATTGTTTGCTTTACTGTCCCAGATGGCCCAGTGTTAAAAAAAAAAAAAAAAAAAAAAAAAAAAAAAAAAAAAAGAGAGAATACAAAGTTATACAGATTTTCACCTACAATCCACAGAAAATCAAAATTTCATCCTTTCTGCAAATTTAGTATTCTACAGCAGAATAGTTTTAAGAGTTTTTGGCCATGACTGCAAATTAAACCCTACCATTGCAACTTTTAGAGCCAAATGATTATATATCAAGAAATTATGTATTTTGTAATCACAAGTAAGAAGCAAAAGCAAGATGATGATTTTCTTGCCTATTTAACATAGTGATAAATCAAAGCTATATTTGTGCAGTGCTGTAAACTGTCACAATATTAAATTATGGGATATGGAAAATTATCATGCTCTCATTAAATAAAAATGGAATTCATCAAAACTACATATCTTCTACATCATTGCCCAGGTAAGTGAGCATGCACCACTTTTTCTTGAAAATACTGAAATGGCATTTTAATTTCTTTGTTGCATTTGCACTTATTTTCTCAAAACAAAAATGATTCAGAAAATTTTATATTCTAGCAAGTAGGGTTCTGCCTCTTGGGTACAGTGAGGTATGTTAAAATCTGAACAATAAGCTTCCATATTGTTGAATTGGGAAAGGCATCATGACATGGGAAAGATGATGCTTTGTTCAGATGACTATAAAGGTTTTTTTCAACTTCACGACCACCGATTTTTTTTCTTTACTGGTAAAGGGTGTCCCAAAATTAACGCAAGATTTGAATTCACTATAAAAGAGAGTTTTTAGTCTTTAGATATTTATTTTTTAAGTGAACCATAAAGTACATAGGATAGGGTTATTTATGGAATAACACATTCGGCAAATGGCTTTGCTGGCACATACGCACCCTTTCGTAGAAATTTTTCATGACCTTTTTGCATAACTGTTGCTGAATTTCGTTGATGCAGCATTTAATTTCTTCTTGTAATGCATGTGTGGTTGTGGGACTGTTAACATAGACCTTTGACTTCAAATAACCCCATAAGAAGAAATCTAATGGTGTAATGTAAATCACATGATCTAGGGGGCCAATTCTGATCACCGAAATGAGAGATTACACAATCAGGAAATGTCTCATGCAGTAATTGAATTGTTCCATTGGCTATATGGCATGTGGCACCGTCTTGTTGAAACCACATACTGGCCACATCACTGTCATCCAATTTCGGCAGAAAGAACTGTTTTATCATGTCGTGATATCGAGCACCATCAACAGTTGCTGCTTGACCAGCCTCATTCTCAAACAAGTATCGTTGGTCATGCCTCCTGCCCAAAATCCGCACCAAACAGGTAACACATTGTGGGAGCATTTATTTTTCGCTAATCACACGTGAGTTCTCCGAACCCCAAACACGACAATTTTGGCGATCAAAAAAGCCATCGAGGTGAAAATGTGCTTCATCGCTTAGGATTCTTTTGCTCGAAGAACCAGCATCCGTTTTTTGATGATTAATAATCCAGTCCACGAACTCTTCTTCGCTGTTCATGGTCATTAAGCTTCAGTTGTTGTGTTAACTGAATTTTTGTAAGCACGAAGACACAGATCTTTTGTGAGTATACGCTGTAGAAGCTTCTTGAAATTTGCAATTCTTGTCCACGACGACGAATTGATGTTCCCTGGAGTTCTTCACCAACACTCTCACGCACGGGTTCAATATTGACATTTGATGGCTTGGTTTTTGGACGACCATTGTGTTTAGCATCTCCAACTGATCCAGTCTCCATGAATTTTTCAATTAATCTTTTCACAGTTGACGACATTAAAACACTATTTTTACCATATTTTGTAATCAAATTTTCAAAGTTCGGCCACCAAACTTTTGTTATTTTAAAAATATTATTCAATAATGAAGAAAATTTGTTGTATGGTATAACACTCCATTTCCACTAACCCTAAACTCTCGACCTTCAAACTGTTCTTTTTTCAGGGTTGCCAACAACTTAATGCAAAAATGGCACCAAATTCAAATCTTGCATTAATTTTGGGACATCCTTTATATCAAAAACAATAAATGCCCTGACTACCACCAACATTACAATGCTTCAAAACTGTATTACATTTGTTTTGGTGACCATCTGCGGGAAAAATATTACAACCCATGAGAACAGAAGTCAAATACTATTTGAATATGTGCCATTTAACAAGAGGAACATAAGTTGAACATTTATATTGTCATGACTTAAAATTTTAGATTTTTACATCATTTCAAAGAGTAATCTTTTTTTGGGGCAGGGGGGGGGTTGTTTAAAGTTCAAGAATGTTGCGAGATAAAGTTAGTTCTTAATTTCTAAAATTTGAAAGAATGCCACAGTCCTGCAAAAAGTCATCATGAATGACAAATAAAAATAAAGAAATAAAATTAGAAATAACTAAAATTAAGCAAAGCATAAAAAGAATTAAAAAAATTACTCAATTAGTTAAATTAATCAGAAATAATTAAACAACAAAATACCGGATCTCAACTTATTTGAGGCTCCGGCTAGAATTATAATTTTGCTCAAAAATTAACTATCTTTGGTTGGCTTCTGAATTTAAGCCATGAATACATAGTGTAAAGAACTACTTCAAGTGGTGGCAGAAATGAAAATCATTCTTTCTCCAGCATACTAAAGGGGGAAAATAAAATGGTTAAAGCGTCATTAATGAGAATAGAGAGACATAGAAACAATATGAGAATGTTAAAAAGAAAAAAAAACATTAGTAGAAAAGGACACACTAATGTAAAAACGGTGGTGTGAAGACAGAGAGAAGAGTCAAACTCTATCTGACCATAATCCTCTGCCAATACAATTACAGCTGTTAAGCAGTTTGAATGACAGTGGAAAAAATTCCCAAATCTGGGGATTAATTTGTAAGCCAGCAGTATAGATGGTAATATGCCTCCTCTATGATTGGTGATACTAATATGAAAGGTCTGCAAGATTTTTTTTTTTTTCTGCACTAATGTTTATGTGTTTAAACTGTTTATATAATAGTACTTCGCAGCATTAAGCCTGTTATAATTTGGCACACATTTAGGATTATAAATGATGGTTCACCTTCCTAAGCCTATTGTAAACTTTCAGTAACTTAAATAGTTGATACCAAAACAACAGATATGATGATGCAACTAGGGTGACTACCACAACTATGTTTGACAATGAGAAAGTTACTCACTCTCAAGCAAGGTCACGTAAATTTATTACATTTCCTGGAGGGGTTTCAACATATTGATGCTTTTCCCCCTTCTCCCTTTAAACGTCTTAACTTTCTTCCATGAGTTTTATTCCCAGGGAAAGTTATGTATGTATTCCAAAACGTAATATAAATTTCCATGTGTTATTCATTGGTAAAATAAAATGTTTGTAACATCAAAAGAATTTTCTGATGAAATAGAGGTTCAGTTTCATAAAATATTCTAGAACTTTTTTATTTTAGGGCTCTGATACACCCCAGTTAAAGTTTTAATTTATCTAAAGCGAGCCTCTTGCAAAAGTTTTGATACAATGTTTTAAAATCTAATGAATCATTTGTAATAACCCTGTATACCTGAATAAAAATACATACTTTTTTTCAACTTGTATGTTATTTGGGCCAAAAGCTTCTGTAGGCTTCAAGATAATTTTGGTGGTAATCTCAGGTTCAGTTATTTTATTCGCTGTAAAGAAATGGCTGGCTTTTTTTATTATTACTATTTGCTTCTGGCAAATATTACTTAACCGTTGCTCATAATATATATTTTAAAAGAGTAACCATAAATAATTGATATAACTTCAATTTCACAATCTAATAAATCCTACAGATTTGTGAAGAAAATAAAAAATAAAAACACATGGAATGGCTGAACACATTATTAAGAATATGTGAAGGTTAAGAACATAGTTGCAATAAAGAAGCAGACATGTATTGGCGAGTTATTGTCATTATTAGCATCTATTGAAGCAGTCAGTCCAAGGCAAGATAGAGCTACTTTTTTTTTACAAAAGTTTGTGAAAATTTATTTACTAAAATAAATAATTAAATCAGACATACCTTGCAACTGCTTCGCTGTACACAAAACCTGCGACTGCTCGTTTAACTATTTCAAAACATAAATCTGAACCTTCCATACTGAAAGAATTTAAAAAACATATTTCACAACATTACAAAATATTTAATACATGCTACAAAACACCTAAAAACGTTTTTAGAATTCCAGGACCAACTCTATAATTTAAGGAGAGACTAAATTAAGATGCTATAATAATTTGGATTCAATTTAAAAATAATTTCAGATACTATTAAATTCAGAAATAGCTTAAATTTTCTGAAAATAAATCCAAGAAAATGACTACATATTGAATTAAATGCTAAATTAACAATTAAAAAAATGTGTTAAGCATCAGAAATAATATATTCAGTATAATAATTTTATACTATATTCAGTATAAGAATGAAGGTATATTTATAATAAAACATAATGATAAAGTATAAAATTTATTCAATGGTTTATGAAGTTTGTAATACTAGATACATAAGTGATAGGATATAAAAATTCTAGACCATTATTATTTCCAATATATTGAACGAGTGTGTGAGTAAAAAAACTGATAATTTTGATTAGTTACTGCTCTACACACATACTGTCATGGTACATGCAGATTTTTTATTCTTCTGTGCAACAAGATTTAGGCAGCTATTGTCTTTCATGGGAAATGAAAAAAGACTTTGTTATATATATATATATATATACAGGGTGTCCTCCCGCAAATGTTGCGACAAACTTCTGGGGGAGGTAGGGCACATCATAAGGATTAAGAATTGCATAGGAACCCATGCCTGGAAATGTCAGGGGTAAGTGGCAGCAGAGGTAGAAGATGGGAAAGGAAACAAGAGATTGATTAATTTGAAACATTTATTGGACATGAATACAAATGCTATATGACAGTTTGAATGTTACAACAGATGCTTGAAGTTTGCACCATTGGACGTCAAACATGCCGACACCAACGGACCATTGATTGCCAGACATGCTCAAATACACCGAGAGTTTCTTTGATTGTACCAGCTTGCACAGGCGAGTCTTACCATGAGATCCATTTCAGACACAACAGGATCATGATTTACGACACTTTTGATGGCTCCCCACAAAAAGAAATCAAGTTTCGATAAATCCGGTGAGCGTGGGTAGGCCAGAGAATCGGTCCACTTCGCCCAATCCATTGATGTGGGAATGATCTGGTCAAATGGCTACGAACACCCAGCTCAAAATGAGCAGGCGCCCACACATTAACTTTAAAGCGTTGTTGTGCCGCACACCGTAGGGATTTTCTTGAGTTGAACAAGCCATCCCTATTGAATATGGCCTCATCCGTGAATAACACATAAGCTGGGAAGTTAACATCACGGGCACTTTCTTGCAGAAACCACTGTTCGAAATGCACATGTTCAGGATGGTCATTCGGGAGCAGTAACTGAAACCTTTGAAGACAAAAGGTGTGGAAGGACTCATCGTTCAAGGCATGCTGGACGCTGGTACAAGACATTCTTAATTGAGAGGCAATGGGCACATATGCTGGTCCTTGGATTACTCTCCAACGTACCCAACACACTTTCTAAGTGAGGGCAGATCCCAATCATTAGGTCGTGGCCTGCCCTCACTTGTCCTGCCATTTCTTAATGACCTATAATCACACAAATTTTGATGCAGACATACAAACAAACTGTGGTGTGGTTGATGTTTGTAGGGGAAATGTTCTCGATAAATGTGTGCAGCAGCTCATCCATTACCCTCAGCTATGCCAAACACTAAGTGCACGTCTGCAAGCTCTATATTCATATAGCATTCCATGCTCTTCTTATGGTGCCTACCACTCACATGAAGCAATTCTCACTTTCCCCAGTACCCCTGGCGGCATACAGTGATGTTTCTGGGCAAGGGTTCCTAGGCAATTCTTAATCCTTATGATGTGAACTACCTCCCCCAGAAGTTTGTCGCAACATTTACGGGACACCCTGTATATATGTATGACAGAGAGACAGAAAGCAAAGGATAAGCAAAATATACTACGTCACCAAAAGAAGAATAATATGCAAATTCCACCATGACATATTTTAAAAGTCATTTACAGCTTCTACACTGTAATACAGTACAAAGTCTTTAATCCGGACGTCCATAATCTGGACCTCAAAGCTACAAACTTTCTGCGCATGCATAGCATAATACCTTTATGCATGCGCATTTAATGTATAACGGACAATATAAGCTAGGCTAAAATTATCTAATTATCTATTTCAGTTAATGTTGCAGATTGCATTGTTCCTTAATCTTCTAATTGGATCTGGCTTATTATTTTTTGCAGACTGTTAGAACAATTTAATAAAACGTTAGCTTGAACTTTCTATTATATGAAAAAGAGTTTCCGATTCTGGAGCTGCCAAAGGATCTACAAAGCGAAAGCATGTTTCAATGTCCATCAAACAAAAAGTGGAATTGCTGAAAAAATGGATTGAAGAAAGTGACAGAGAGGTTAGTGAACACGAAAAAATTTCGATTGACAAGTTAGTCGGTATTCTCGGCACAGCAATTACAGGACTTGAACAGAGGAACTTTGTAACTGAACAAGAAATTATTTCTGTTTATAGAATTAAAGAGAAAGTATTAGCACATAAAACGAAGCAACCTTAACATGCTCTTTATGATTATAGATCATAATTGCTCGTTATTTCATAAATTATGGCTTCATATTTTTAATTTTATAATTTCTGCATGCCATCTTACCAGATTTAAATTGATGATCTATAATCCGGAAAAACCCTTAATCCGGAATCAAAGTCCCGATTAAAGACTTTGTACTGTAATAGTTTTATAAAATTAGCAAAATTTCAAAACTTTTACTGCTAACATATGTGTGAAAGGGTGAGAATAAGAAAATGCTTTATTTATATAAACAAAGATTTTACAGCTTCATGAATAGCTGTAAAATACAAAATAAGCATATAATTTCTATTAGAATATAATTTTAACTAGCAAATTTTATATCACTCATATAATGCTTGCGCAAAATTTTTGGAATGAATAATAACCAGCTTCATTTTTTAATTTTTATTACTTCATGATTATGTATTTTGCTTTTCAACTTTTACTATATTAAAATACATTACTGGACTGAAAACTCAAAAGTTTTTTTGATGTGGCAAATGAATTAGTGTTCAAATTTAATGTATCTTTCCTCAATAGAAATCCTGTGTTTAAACCATTCATTTACCATATGCATACCAATGCAGTTAAATGCAAAAGGGGGCCTGGTTCTTATGCATAAGAAGTTTTCCAGATTGAAAACTCAGGATATCTGCTCTTAAAATAATTGATAAAATATACTTTTCTCCAAATTGGCTGTATGTTCACATGGATAGTTCTATCATGGATGCTACTAAAAATGCTTGAGTTAGAATACACTCAAAACATTTTAATCTCAGCAGAGCTACTGGTAAGTTCTGCAATAATTTTAATGATGAAGTAGCTATTTTTTCAACTCTTGAAGAAACCACTGGGAGAATGAAGCACAATGTTTATTGTTCCCAAGACACCAGTTAAGCCTTTGTTCCCCTCAGTAGTTAAATCTGTTTATGACTAGTAGATTTTCCTTGACTCTTGCAAAGTGGCTGACATATTTCTTTACAATGCAGACCCAGGACCACACAGCAGCCGCAGGCATGGCAAATTTTCATTTTAAAAATGGCCATGACAGTTAGCAAATACCTCCACTGTGTGGATCCAACAGATCACAAATATGACCATTATGTGACCTGGGTGACAAGTTACATGCCTCTTTTTCAGGGTACTGCATGCCTCACATTCTTCTTCTGGACAACAATATTACGTGTAGTTGCATGGTGGTTACTGCCGAGCTGTTGGAGTGTACAAATACTTATCACATGGATTAGCTCTACACATAAATCCAGTTGAACTCATGTAGGTCATCCTTGGGGAAGACATGGTAATGCACTATCAGCTACAATTTTACAGCTATGATCACTACAACAAGAGGATTGTACCATATTGTCCCAAAAGCTCAATAGTGACTTTTTGCTACGCATACACATATGATAGACATCTGGTACTAAAGTCAAGAATTATTATATCCCCTGCTAAAGGCCATATTTTTGTCACTTGCTGCCTCTCGTGTAAACTTCTGTTGTATTCAGAACCCACTTTTGAATAAAGGCTCTCTGTATAAAACTGGATTCCTTTTTCAGTCAACATCATTCATGTTTCCCACAGTTCCATTTCTCAATGATGTTACGGTATGCTTTGTATCGATCTGAAACAATGCATAACCATTACATGCAAAAAGCTGCTCCATCCTTAGTTTCTGCACACTACTACAGTTGGAATTATAATAAAGTATGCTAATATGTCTTCATTTTACTATCATTTTCTTAGAGAAAGAAGTCCCCCCTTCAGATGACATCTGCTATTACGGATTCAAAGAACGAAGATGGAAAAAACATTGTAATAAAATTGATAATACAGCAACAAAGACCTTTAAAATAGCATATTTTAAATGATAATGAACTACTAGGATAAACATAATCTAATGCTCTTAATTGATATGAACTTGGAACTATGAAGAGGCAGACAGATATTAATGACAGATATTATTAACAAGCAGTTGTTTTTCTAAACCCAAAAATGGATGACAATTACCTACTTTTGAAGTAATGACCTTATGACTAGTAGATTTTCCTTGACTCTTGCAAAGTGGCTGACATATTTCTTTACAATGCAGACCCAGGACCACACAGCAGCCGCAGGCATGGCAAATTTTCATTTTAAAAATGGCCATGACAGTTAGCAAATACCTCCACTGTGTGGATACTTACTAAAGTTACCTACTTTTGAAAATTTCTTAACAGTTACTTATAATGATAGCAGATAACCTGAATAACAGCAGGATATTAGCTGTAAATTGGTTAAGAAACATTTTTAAAAAGAGGAGAAAGAGAAATTTGCTCTGATTATTTTATGTCACATGCAATGATTGCTAAAAAAACAAAGCTCAAATTGCTGCAAAACAAAATTTTACAGAGATGGTAGGCAGTAATTAAAAAAAAAACCATAGCAAGTGATAAAATTCAATATTTTACTCATCTACTGAGAGGCAGAACAGCAATTACTCTGGGTGGAAAATTTGCCTAGGCCAAGGGAACTTCAGCTTCAAAGATGTTGAATAAAGAGCACGCTTAGCACACAAGAAGTAATTCACAATAATTTTTTGTAGCTGAAAAGGGGCAGATGGTTACTAAATTAAATATTCTAAAAATTAGTAATAGATTGATGCATAAAACCAGTTCTACTCATTAGGCCAGAAACAGTTTGATTAGGAGATTAGATTTTATAGCACTGATAACATTCTTTAGCAAGCAAGAGTAATTTAAACAGTGCATTGCAATGAAAAGCATAATTATACTTAATCATTCATTATCCCGAGATCATAAGAGAACTTTTGTTCCATAAAGAGAAAGTAATTTTAAAGGCATCATTTTGGTAATATTTCATACATTTACAGAAACATAATTTGTAAATTAAAGTTACATTAAATATTGTAATAATGAAGTTTATGTGATTTTTTACAAAGGCACCCAAGAAACTCTATGAAAATGCGAAAAGATCTGCAAGTCAAAGGAAACAGGGGGAAAAAGTTGCATAAAACAGGAAAAAGGTTGCTGTTTTCAAAAATCTCATTTTATTTTTTTATGAATTCAGTCCTAAAAGTTTGTAGAACACGCAGCATAATGACTGAAAAAAAAATTATGTTGCATCATTAAAGTACAGTCCTGATTAAGTGAAGAACACAAAAAAAATTTATTAATCTGTTATGTTTAAAACTACTCATTTAAATTCATAAATTTATTTTTACAAAACTGAAAAACGTAAAACATATTTTAGAAAAATTAAAACAAAACAGCACACTTACAATTCAAATACCATATAAAGCATGCCTTCTGAGCTGTATGTTTCCAATAATTCAACTATGTGTGGATGTTTTAACATGTGACATATAGTCGCTTCTCTTTTCAAATCTGGTAATAAAAAATAAATATATAAAAACATGGCTTATGATTTTATTATTAATACAGCCTTATAAATTATGCAAAATGCAGAATTTCTCATGATCAGAAAAGCTCTCCATAATTTTACACCTTTGAACACAGGGCGTTTATAAAGTCCTGGACCCATTTTGATGTTTAATAACTCATAAAATAATGAAGATATAAACAAACTTATGGCATTTATTGATGGAATAACTTATATATTTTCCTTTGCAGGTTTGAATATCTTTACTTTTGTAAATATCGTCTGCGCGAGTGGTTAATTTCAGATAATTTCATTTTCCAGTCTAAATATCTGTACTTTTCTAAATATCGTCTGCTTATTAATTGCATTTTTCTCTCTTTTGTTTTCGGCATCTTTCTGACACTGTTAATCGCCATAATGTGCGCATATGGGGATCTGAAAACCCCCCATGGATACCGTGAGGCACAAAGGGATTCCCCAAAGGTTAATGTATGGTGTGGACTAATGCACGATCGAGTCAATGGGCCTTTCTTTTTTACAAAAAAGATGGTCTCATCAGTCGTATACTTAGATATGTTGGAAAACTTCATAGTTCCACAACTAGAAGAGCTTCAGCCACGTCTTTTTGCAACAAGATGGTGCCCCACCTCATTGGGGTACCATCGTTCGTAGTTCTTTGAATGGAAGATGGATTGGGCAAGGAGGTCCAATTCCTTGGCCACCCAGATCACCCGATATAATGCTGCTGGACTTTTACGTTTGGGGATTTGTAAAGGGCAACGTTTACAGGAGAAAGTGTCGAACATTGATGACCTAAAAGCCAGAATTACAACTGCAATAGCCTCTGTGGATGCCGACATGCTTGCCGGTACCTGGGGTGAAATTGAATTCGACTTGATATTCTCCGTGCGACGAAGGGGGCACACGAGGAAGTTCATTGACAAGGGTCATGAAATTTTTGAGTCTATTCAACCATTTATGTTATTAATTTTAATCTATCTTTATTATTTTATGAGTTATTAAACATCAAAATGGGTCCGGGACTTTATAAACACCCTGTATTTTTATTCTTTAGAGTTTATCTTTCATTTTCCACTGAAAGCTATCACCATACCATTTCCCCCCATTTTCCATTAAGGGATTTGTCTAACCAGTTGCTTAGATTTTATTTTCTTCATAATAGCTATATCGTATTTTAAAATATACTTACCTAAGTGTTTTACAAACGTGCAATTTTGCTCAGCACATGCTCTTTTTTAATTTGTTGTTGTTGCAAACAGCTTGACACCTAAACCCAAGAAAATGTGATTCATATTTCTGCTCAGAGGGAAGCAAGGAATACCCTAGCATATTTTATGTTTCAGATGGCATGCATTTTTGCATTAATTGTAGCATTTCCACTGATCGCACAAGAAAGTCTGTTACTGATCAGCATTTGATAGTAATCATAATGAACAAAGGCAACAACAAGTTAAAAGGAAGACAGAGACAAACAAATGCCAATGTTGCCTTTTACAAATGCCAATGTTGTTCATGTAGATAAACTAGATCTATCTTAAAGGCAAACACTTCTTTGTTACAAAACTCATAGGTGCAAATGCCTCTATTTTGCAGTAATATTTTTACATCAAAATTAACTACAGTTTTCAAAACTTTCTCAAAAACCAAGAATAAAGATATAAAAGAAATTCTCAAGTGAGCAGATTCATTCAGCATTTGTTTGGGCGAAAGCTGTGATGAGAAAGGCAGCTGTATTTTACATAGTCTTGTTTTTCCTCGATTTTCAGATTCGGCATTGTTGCATCCTTATTTACTACAACGTATTCACCTTGAAATTGCCTAAGCAACAATAGTTTTTCAAGCCGTCATGCAATACCTTGCCATATAGAGGTTGTAGAGACATTAGTTACTTTTTTGGGGGGGGAAGCAGAAAAGATGAAAAATAGCAACCCTTCGCCGGGAATCGAACCGCGGACCTCTGGAATACACACCCAGCGTGCAGAGACCACCACACCATGAAGGCATGCCAAGGAGGCGGGGAAAATGCCTTATAAGGTAAGATGTGTATTTTGATGATATTGCTAAATTACTGGATTCTTTCAGATTTCTAAGCATCACACTTTATAGAATTTTAAACGAACATAAATAAAATAAATTATGTCCAACACCAATAATGATGCTAAAATTCATGGTACGAATCATGCAAACTTCTGTATTATCAACATAGACTTATCTGAAAGTTAAATGCAACTTACTTCTGAGTACCAATCTCAATATCAGAAAGTCCCTAAAGGAAAATAAATCTATCACTTTTGTTTCATAACAGAATATGTGCTCGAATTCTAATGAATATCCTGGTATTCTTTGAAAAATAAGAAGCACCTATTTCCAAGGTACACAACAAAATACAGGATTTGCAATCTCAATTGCAAGAAAAAATTAAGACTACTTATTCTTGAAGGATTATATAATTACTTCCTTCAAAAGGCATTTCACACCATTATAAAGTTAAAAATACCTCCAAAAATCAAGGATTTAAATTGTTTAAAATCAATGACCAAACTTGATGATCAAATGGCCAAACTTGATGTTGATGAAAATGTTCTGTTTAAAATATTCTAGGCCTCAATAAAACTTGAGTTTACTGCATACCTGAAGTATGTAAAGGAACATACAACTATCAATTTAATGAATTTTGGAATTGAGGCAGTTTCAGGAAGATTTCCAGTCCTAGTACAAAGTCCGAGTCAGGTGTTCGGCGATTCCGGATTTCAGAAATTTCGGGATCAACAATTTAAATGTAGTAAAATGACCTACCAGGGCTTAATTTCTAAAAGTACAAGTGCTGGAGCCCTATGGAAGACTGTCGGGAAAGAGGGCCAAGAGTAAATAAATAAATAAAATGACTATTAAAATCATTGATAATTTTAAAATTAAGTAGTTAATGAGTATCAAATTAATTAATAATTATTTAATTGATATTAATAATTAACATGTATTAATTATTATTTAATTACTTCATAATTAATTTATTAATTATTTAATAAAATATTTAAAGATTAAAGTAATTAAATTATTAAAATTAAATAAAATGTAAAGAGATAAATAAAAATTAAGTGATTTTTAATATTAATTTTTTTCTGCTAAAAATAAAATTTTCGGGATCCAACTTCTACTGAAATAATGGTTCAGTTATATAAAAGAAGTGCGGAAGCCGTTTTATTTAGGGCACCGGTGCGCTAGAATATATTCCAAAAACAAAGTACCGAAGCCGGGTTCCGGTTGGCTCCGGCGCAATTTAAGCTCTGTGACCTACACAGTGGCGTAAATAAGGGTATGCAAGGAATGCCGTCGCATAGGGGCCCGAAGGCTTAGGGGGCCCTTAAATGTCCTGCTGAACTACATTTACATGTTTAAACTTAAAAGACGGATTCCATTACATATATATAGAAGCTTTAATTCATTTCCCTTGATTAGTTCGGAATTAGAATTTCAAATAAAAGAAGATTAATTATTATTTTTATATTCTTTATCTTGTATTTTTTTTTCCCTTTTGCTTTTCATTTTTATTTTTAGAATTTGTAATTCTTATTCCATAAATTCTTATTTTAATTTTAATATGTTTTGATTTTGTGTTAAACCCCTTTTGCACGATTGTTAATATTAATATAGTTGAGGAATAGCCTTCATTTGATTCCAATTTACTTTTAGCTTTAGAATCTTTAAGTATATGTAGATAATAGAATTCGTTTTCTTTTAAGTTTTTAAGGGCCCCCTACCTATATGGTGCAGTAACGCAATTCTCTGTATGACGCAGATAGGAGGCCCTTGGAAGCACCTGAAACAGTTAAATTCAAGTGGTTACAAAAGTTAAAATTCTAACATTCGACTACGAAATAATAACTTCATGACCTACCCCAGTTTAGGGATAGCAGTGAGCGGAAAATAGGAAAAGTTTCTTTGTATTCCTTAGTCTCAAACCTGAAAATTATTAAAGGCGACCCCCTAAAGGAAAGGTTTCTCCTTTTGCAATCCCATATCAAAAAGCGGAGGAAGTGGAAATTAATTATAAACTATTATTATTTAAAGTACTTATTTTATATATTAATTTGTTTCTGTATAATTCGCATTATCGAATAATCAGTACACATATTTTCTTCCTTTTCTTAAGGCTATATGTCGACATGTTCCTTTTGTTATATAGACTTATTCATTTATTATCAGTATGCATCTCAGTGAAAGGAGAGAAAAATCTGTCTCTCGCACTCACACAAAAAGTGTTAACTGAATTAAAATCATCTGACGCCAAATACCCAGACTAAAGCAAATTTTCATCTCACCAGTTCGTCAAGGGAAATTATTTTCCTTTTTATTCTTTCTTCACGTTACGTACCTTTCAACTAGTTCCCTAAGAACGTGCTTTTATTTTTTAACAATTAATCCAGATGTGATAAAAATCATCATGAAAACATTGGCTACTGGAATCCTTGATTTTTTTTTTTTTTTTTTAATTTTTTTTTTTTTTATTTTCGCGTTTTTTATTTATTTATTTATTTTTAAGCACATTAAATTTATTGGGAAAGGGGCCCAGAAAAAGTTTTTTTGCATAGGGGCCCAAGAGTTCTAGTTATGCCACTGGACCTACAGATATGGCAGCACTGGGGCTTCATTTATTGTTTAGGCCAGCTAGAACAATGTTAATTCCTCACAGTCACCTAAGGGTAGTGATCATCGCCAGGACCCCGAAAACGGGGTTATGACTAGCATCAGTATGTCAATTTACTGTCACTCTCCATGACGTGACTCCCTAGCCGACAGGCGTTTGAAAGCGACATTTCGGAAATCTCAGCGAATGGGGAGAGAAAACTAATTTACGCCATACCGCTGTCGTCTTATTATATTCTCCACTCCCATACTTTGTATGCGAGAAGGGGAATTATTCTTGTTATTCTAACTTTGTTTATATTACTGATATACTTATTGGATTGGTGATCCGGAGGTCGGG